GGGTGGATTCAGTTACTTAATGCTGACAAAGGTTAAAAGTTCAAGAATTATAATTGAAGAAACCCCAATTCAGTTCAGCCGTTTAAACTTCATTGAAATAAATTAATTAAATCACGATTCTTTTAGAAGGACTATATCATTGGCTACTAAACAGTAGGGCTCATACACATTGCTCCAGAACCTCAGAATCAAGAAAAGTACTAAATCGGATTTAGTTAAGCCAAGAAATTTTCCATCAAGATGGGATCTATAACTATTGGGATCTCATTTATATGCGCTTTTATAAGAAGGTTGTCGTTTTTCTTGGTTGAATGTGACGTCCATTTCACCCTGCTTCTTTTACGCAATCCACTAATTACACGAGTCAAACCAAGATTGAGTATACAATACTCAAATGTAATAAAACAAGGATAACATTTAAAACATCAGTTATCAACACATGAAATTTTCAAGAAAAAAGGTTACCCGAAAGATGAATCTGTCAAGGAACAATCTGACGATGACGAAACCAAAAGCGAAGAAAATGGCATAGAACAAATGAGAAACGGCGGGGGCACCATTGTTCGCCCAAATCGAGTCCATTATACAGAGAATCAGAAACCTCAATTTCGAAATATCAACCAAAATAGCGGAACGTAATGAATCCACATCTAAATTCAATCAATTGTTTGAACAATAATTTGCCCTTGTGCTCACCGCAGTGCCAAGTCCACTAAGAAGGGTGTCGGACTACCGGAGGGGAAAGGGGGTGAGGCTGGCGCTCGAGAGAATCAAAATTGATAAATAGTACCGAAACAGAGGGAAATGAGAAAATGTTGTTTTGTGTGTGTGTGAAATGAAGAAAAAAGAGAATAAGTAGGGGGCAATGGTGGAGATCTTGTGAATGAAGGGGTGTGGTTTAGTATATTTCTCATCAATAGTTTTTTGTGTCATTGATAATATTTAAATATTCGAATGAGGTAAATTATTTACGTATTATTTAATAATAAAATTTATTATTTATTAAGTTCAAATTACATAAATTATTTTTATTTTTATATTTTTAGCATCAATGTATAATGATATCTTCGCACCATTACTTTTTATTAGATTTTTAATTTTTTTTATAAGTAATGGTTAAACTAAGTTGAGCATTAGTCATTTAAATTAACAATATACTATTAATAATATAATAAAATAATAATAATTAATACTAGCCGAATGAATAAAAAGAAAACAGAAAAAAATATTTTTAAAAAACATTATTCAATCAAATTGCTACTCAATGTTGCATCTTTATTATTCTTACCTACTCTCTATTTCTTGAAGTTGTTACATGACTTGTCATGAGGTCATGATATTCATGTCATTATCTTTTACAGTAAATCACACTTTGAATCACGTGTACCTACCAAATCCTCTATTTAAATTATTTTTAAAAAATAAGAAAGTACTTAAAAAAATCATTTTTACATCAAAACATTTAAATTAGGTCAATTCAGTTAGGTTTTATATTATTTTGCTTAAAAGTCCAAGTTCCAACTATAAGAGAAAAATGTATGAACATAGTCATTTTATTTTCAATTTTTTTTATTGTCGCAGACGAATGTCCTCAACTAAATTTTACTTATTTTCTTTTACATATCTGAAAAAATAAAATTATATGTAAGGAGGTATATTAGAAATGTATTTAAATGATAAAAAAATAATTTTTTCTAACTATTTAACTTTTTTGATAAGATTCTCTCTGGATAAATAATCTTCAATTTCTTTTGTCAAACTTATTACTGTAATTGCTGGAACTACAACTTGATGGATAGGACCACTACTATTTTACTACTTAATTTTAATCCACAAATATCTTCAAATAAAAAACGCATTTTTTTTTCTTGGAACAAAAGAGCTTATATTTCGTAGCAGTGAAACACTATTATATCTAGGTTAATTGATGTGCAAAGTTTGAATAAACGCAAAATAACAGAATTAACCCCCCTCCCCCAACCCAACACACACATGTGAGATATCCAGCGTTATTGAAAGCAATTTTTCGATAAAGTCAACATAATTTTATTTTTATCTTTTTATATATTACATTAGATATGTTATTTTTTTGTGAAATTAAGCGTACCAAATAAATATAAATTATTTGTATGAATAACAAAATGTAATAAGATATCTATATAATTATAAAAACTTATGACTAATCATAAATAAAATAAAATGGAAAAACATAATTAAATTATTTTAATTTAGGAAACCTTTTTTTACAATAAATATATTAATTAAAAAAATCACACCATCACACCAGTGGAAAGTAGGGAGTAGATACCTTAAAACTTAAGCTAGCTTGCTTAACTTCCAGCTCACTCATAAACTGGTGGATCTCCTTATAAACACACAAACTGGCACATCTCTACTTTTATTTTTCTTCCTTTATAGGAGGATGTCTGTACTTTATATTTATAAAAAAAAAATAGATGAAAAAATTAGTACACGACATGTGGAACTAAAATGGTAAAAAAAAAAAAGAAATTACGATTAAACTATGAACTTCTACCAGCGATCTCGTATATATAATATAATATTCATTACATTGGTAGGTGAAAATATTTGCTTTGGAGCTTTAATGATATATTGCAGGTGATATCAATGCTAATTAAGTGTACTATATATTTATATATATATATATATATATATATATATATATATATATATATATATATATATTCTGAAAATCCCCTCAAAATTAATACTCTATTATCTTGGAGTGTATCTTCATTAAAAAGAGTTCAAAGGATAAATTAGTAATTTTGAGGATATTTTTTTTAATAATTTAATAAAACATATGTAGAATATGAAATAACTAATATGGAACAGAGAAAATACCTAGGTATATAATTTTAGTGGTAAAACAGAAATATATGGTATCAAATTGGTACTAGTAGATGGGATGAAAAAAATTTGGATTCTTTAGAATTTGTATCTTGTTTTTTTCTTTTAATTAAAGATCAAATTGAGATCGAACTTTGTATGATATTTATTTGATTAATTTGATAAAATTTTTAAATGCAAAAATAAATTATATATAACACTTTAAAAATATATACATTACCGACATCGCTATATTTATCTGAATATTTCAGTTAAATAAATTTATTTTTGCTTGAATATTGAACTTATATTTAAATAATATTCTTTTATTCTAATTTCTTCACAATATGTATTTGCATTGAAATTTAACTATTCTGAATTACCGTAATACATATTTGGAAAAAAATATTTTCTACAAATTTTTATATTGAGAACTAAAAGTCAATACTCTTAAAAGAGAAAAGCTAACATTGGAACTTGTTTAATGGTCTAATCATGTAATTTACATTCATTTTACTTGAAAAAAAAAACACAACATGCAAAGTAAAATGTTTGTAGTTCACATGCGCTATTATTCCATTTCTTTTATTTACTTGACTTTTTAGCGTATAATTTACATATATCATATAGTACAGTTTGTAAAATATATTTTATTTTCATTTTTTTAATTATAATTATTAAAATTTATACTTTTTGAATATATTAATATGTATCTGAATATATTATACTATAAATTGAATACATAATATATAATTCAAAAATATATTAAAGACTAGTTCGAATACATAATATGTAATTCAGATGTATTACAAAATAAACTGAATATATAATATATGGTTCGAATACATTAAGTATTGACTGAGATACATTAACTTGTAACTCAGATACATTAAATACATTAAGAGAGGAATAAAGAATTTTGAAGGTTTTTAGGAATAGAATAGGATATTAAAAATAAGTGATAAATTAGACGTATATTTTAGTATTTTTTTAATTATTTTTTTATTTTAATTCCTCTTTAAAAGAAAATAATTTCTTTATAATTTTTAATTTTAATTGCATTTATATCTAATAAAATAGCCATATAAGAGTGTGTTTGGCATGAAGGAAAATGTTTTCTGAAAAATGTATTCCAATTTTCTTATGTTTGGTTGAAGCAAAAGTTTTGGAAAATATTTTTCAAATCAACTCATTTTTCTCAAAATTAAGGAAAATGACTTCCCTTAAAAAATTAAGGAAAACATTTTCTAAAGCTCTCCTCCAATTTCAATTTTTTTTTTTTTTGAAAAAAACATCAATTTTATCAATTTCAAAATTTTATTTTTTTCACCCGATCCCTAACCACTTCCCCTCTCCCCCAACCATCCTCTCCAAAAAAATAATTTTGCTTTTTAAAAATAGGTTTCAACTTTAAATTTTTATTTTTAAACTCCTACCTCACCCTACCAGCCCCCTCAACCTCCAACCCCAACCCCTCAAAAAGTCATTTTTGCTTTTTAAAAATACTATCAATTTCAAATTTTTATTTTTTCACTTCTACCCCCTCCCCCTGCCCCCACCCCCACTATCCCCCCACACCCCCACCACCACTACCCAAAAAAAAAGTATTTTATAAAAATATTTTCAATTTCATAAATTATTTTCTACTCTAGTAAAAACAAAAAATGTTCCTCAAAAACATTTTTTATTCATAAATTAAACACTAAAAATCATTTTCAGAAAATAGTTTATGCGCACCAACCAAACATGATAAAATAAGTCCAAAATCTACTTATTTTCCAAAAAAACATTTTTTAGGAAAACATTTTCCATGGAAAACATAATTTCTTTATAATTTTTAATTTTAATTGCATTTATATCTAATAAAATAGCCATATAAATATCTAAAAATTTGTTTTAGGGTAATTTTTTTTTGATCTATTAACATTCGAATCACGCGTACGAGACTCAATTTAGTGTGCTCCCAAACGCGTAAAAAAGAAAAGTATAAATTGCACTTTTGCGCGTTCAGTTTGCATTCCCTCCAAAATTTTATAAAACACGTTCTCATATTCTTCTATGGGAATTAGGGCAACAACAAGATCGACCCACTCGATCGATAGGATTCACTTCACCGGCGACAGGTCTACCGTAATTTCTACTCGGTAACGTATTCCGATCATCTATTTTGGTCTCAGCAATGTATAACGTCTCTTGATGTACAAAATTCTTTCATGTTTTGTCAAATTTTACCTTTAAATCGAGCAGTACGGACGGTCCTGTATTTGCATGCTGATATTTGTCTCAGGCTTTTGTTCAGGGACGGATTAATTTATCAGCGCCGCTTAATTTTAGAGTAATTTGTGTAATTCTCCTAGGTGATGCGATAAATTATGGTTTGCTGTAGAGGAGATCAGTTAAGTAGGTTATAGAAACGCGGAGTAGTATAATGTAAATTGATAGGAAGTTTACAGGAAAAATAAATGGAATGAGTTAGTTCTGAACTTCTGATTCTTAAGGTCCTGTCCTGTTTTATATAAGTACAGGTACGTATATACTTGATAATGATCTGAAGCATGAATACACGTTCCTTCGAATAATTTTTATGTTTATAATGAGTGATCTATATCATTGTGTAAATTGTGTGTCTAGCTACACACTGGTTTTTATATACACATACTAGAATATGTATTCATGTACTAATTATTGATAACTGATGTACGATGAACGAACAGAGTTGTACTTATTTTATTACGCCTGCTCTAGTGAATGACAAGTCTTTAAATTTAATCTAGGCGTTTTCTTATCTTCATGGGATATGGCGATCTCTCTTTTTTTGAGATAGGGCTGGAGGAAGGATTTTTGTTTAGTGGCTTTAATATGATGCCCTTAGCTTGCAATCTACCTTTTTACCTTTTAGGTGCTTCTCTCTTGGAAGTGTTTGATGCCAAAACAGATATGTAAACTTGGTTTAGAATGGCTGTTTAATTTTTCAGTTGCTACATAGATATTGACGGGAGATTTGTACGAGTAACTTTTAGGATGCTTTAACTTCAAATCAATCTGTATCTTCATGGGAAGCCTTTTGTTGAATGCCCTTGACTTTCAGGCTTCATAAGAAATTCTGTAATGCTCTAAGGTAGGTAATGTACTAATGTTCCATATAGCCAATATCGGAATGTATTAACATGTATCTGCAGCTTCTATGATACCTGTAACTGGAATGCAATTCACTTCCTACTTCTAAAAAGTAATAGTGCAGTGTCAGGTCATATTTCCTTCATGGAGGATCTCAATTATCAAGTATCTCTTGCTTGTAGGAGAGCAACTCCAGAAAGTGCTTCTCAGATTCTGCTAGCCTTAACTTGCTAAGACGAAAATCCTAATGCAGAAAAGAGAGCACTAGTTTGATTTCTTGAAAGTTATGCTAAGTTGATATATATGCCTTCACCCTAGCATTGAAAAACAGAGAGATCAAAATAAATCCAACGTCATGGTTGCAGTTACGCGTGCACAATCTTGATCAGCTTTCTGAGTTACATTCCTGCTGCAAAAAAAAAAAAATCGTAGTCCATATATTGCTTGAGGTTACATTGACAAGATTTTTTCCTGCCCTTAGTGTATTGAGGTGATTAATCGAGCCTGAAGTTCTATCTTTGAAATTCACTCTTCCCAAGCTGAAACTTAATCATATGTGAAGAACTTCACTTACTTCAGATATGCAATTTGTTATTCATTGGTTCATACAAAATACGCTGAAATTAGAGTCATGCCCTGAAAACTCTGAGGTTAAAAGAAAACCCTTAACACTCAAAATTCTTGGCAATTTTCATGTTGTTTTCACATGCTGTGATGTATTCCATATTCTATTCATGTAATGCTTATGATGCCTCTGCATTCTATTTCTTTTAGGGATAATACACAAGTACCCCTCAACCTATGTTCGAAATTTCAGAGACACATTATACTATACTTAAGTCCTATTACCTCTGAACTTATTTTATTAATAATTTTCTACCCCTTTTCGGCCTACGTGGCATTATCTTGTGGGCCCAACGCTGGTTAACTTTTTTTTTTTTAAGTTAGTGCCACGTAAGCCGAAAAGGGGTAGAAAATTACTTATATGATAAGTTCGGGGTTAATAGGATCTTAGTATAGTATAAGTGTGTCTTTGGATTTCAGGCATAGGTTGAGGGGGTACTTGTGCATTTTCCCTTTCTTTTAATTTATTTTTGGCTATTATGGTTCTATTGATTTGTGTGACCTTGTGTTTTTATTAGGTAATTTTGGATGTATATACAGATCACAACCATCCAGATCTATCATTGAGGTTCATTCCTGTTGGAACATTCCAGACTAAGAGTGCGTGGGCTAGAAAACAAGGTAGTTCTTTGCCCTAATGTCTATTTGACCTCCATTTTGCTACTTCCCCATAGCACTTGTTTCCATCAAGTCCAGAAAAATCTCATGAGTGTTGCCTACAGACCATTATAGCTTCAGGATCACTAGACACATGATGGCTATTTTTGTAGTGACATGTCTAATGGGACCCTTCATCCTATTCCATAAGTGCTAGTTTCCACTATGGAATTTTCCCATTAGATTAAGCCATTTCCTTTTTGCAGCCACTCAAGCATCTGGAATACTTGGATCTTCTTAGGCCCACTGATGCTGACTCCCACGTGAAGTAATATATGTTCTTCAAATGCCATGCACACAAATGTTCCATTGAGCTTCATTTCTTTTGACCGGTAATATTCCACTATGGTGCTGCTTTTCCAACATATATGAGTCATATCTTTATTCTTTCACCAAATTGGAATATATAAAGCTAGGAATCCATGCGAACTTAGCTTAAGATAGAGCACAGTGGAAGAAAAAAGAAGCTATATAGGCGTAACTAATTTTCTGAAACTATGTTTTCGTCATGGTAGTACATTTTTAGCTCTCTCAGAGACTTTTATGCCAATAGAAAAAACTTCAAGTACTTTTTTAATTTTACTTTGTATAATGTTTTCTGAGATGAATTTTTAAATGGAGAAACATGGTTAGTGAGAATTCAGATAACTAACCGCAGTATATATGAGATTGAGGCATAACTATTGACTGTTGTTATAGTACAGAGTTAGTAATAATCTTGGAATGCATTGTATCGCAATTTAGCCAGAAAAGACATTGCTGTCTTTGTTAGAAAATGTGATTGACTTTACAGACTAATATTTTTATAGTACAATTTCATAGAAGGTAACAAAAAAGTTTCTCAGATGAGTTTCAACAGAAACAGTAAACTAAGTTCAGAGGTATCTTCTGTTTTTTTTTCTTTTCTGTTGCTAGTATATTAGTTTTTATCAGGTGGCATCTGTTTTCTAGGGGTCTCTTTGGCTTCTTGTTTCCTTCCAGAACCTAGAAGGGAGTCCATGCTGAGGTATTGGGAATGGGCTATATTGTACTCCTTTGGAAACTTCGATTTCCCACCTGCAATAATTAATGTGTGAGTATGAATTTCTAATAAAGTTAGAGCACTGATATATTTAGCACTCTTCTAGTAGGTACAATTGAAATTTCAAAAAATCTCCTGGCGTGACATAAACACAAGTGAAGCTGGAACTGAGAAGAAATTTCTTTAAAACACATCCTTTTCCTTTGACTAGATTTTTGTGAGCATTATGTGGTTGGGAGTTTAGTGGATGTATTTCTTCAACACATGAACACGAGCACATGACATCTGCTTGTATACATATTTTAAAAAAGAATATATAAGAGAAGTCTGTACCCATTATTATAGACAAGTCCTGATGCTTTGGTATTCCCCACCTGTTGGCTTAAACTTTTGGATCTGCTGTTGTTGCAGTTCTTCTATGTTATTATTGTTGTTAAATATTAGTATATACAATGGATTTAGTTAAGTAGTTAAAAATCGTGGACTCAAAATAATATAAGTTATGAATTTAGAAGCAAATATGATGTCATTGTCGAACCTAAATTTGGTAACCAAATGATGAATCAAAATCAGCATCTCCAGTTTGGCGAGTTCATTTCCAGGACAAGCATGGGCACCGTTGCCAAATGGCATGTAGGTATTGGGTTTGGGAGCAACCTGCATCCATCATCCACCACTTGATTATTTTTTTTGGAGTTAACCAACTTTTCATATTTTAAAATTCTAGACAGGTGGAGAATTGAAAAGCACTTTGTTAGTACTCGATCACCACATACCTCAAATCTGGAAGCATCAAAATTTTGAGGGTCAGCAAAAAATTCTGAATTGTGATGAATGTTTCTAAATAGTGGCATGACCTTCCAACCTTTTGGAATCAAGTAACCTGCATTTAAGATATCTTTACTATTCATGTTAAATGAGTAATACCTTACAGAAGGATTGAAGGTATAATTAATAATGATACATATGAAACTTCATTTCTGTGCTTCAACCAACCTTCACACAACTAACACCAGTTCTTTGAGGCTTCTTTTTATTTTACAAGTCGGTGGACCCAGAAGTGTAATAATTTGGGTTCATTAACTTGTGGGACAAAAAGAAGCCTACATAATTAGTGTCAGCTGTGTGAGACACAAAATAAAGTTTTTTCAATACATGCATTTCTCAATTTTTCTTGATGTACTTGTGTCCAATGAGTCTGACATGTGATTTTGATTGAACTTGTTCCCTATTTCAAAACTATTGAACATTCTCATTGTACCCTTGATGAAATACGACTATAGGAATAACACCATATCTTAAAAACCACTGTACTTTTGGTATGTTATATACATTTTCATGTCCAGTCAAAGCCTCATATAAAATGACTGAATGATAAGTTAAAAAAAACTACTATTAAGTATCTATACTAATCGTCACACATACTAGTATCGAGTACAAAGTAGTCATCTGCGTAAAATAGATAATCAGAACATTCCTACAGGAGCAATGAGTTTATATATGTGTGTCCTTTTTGTACTTATTTATCCATGGTTGAACTTACATTTGATAACTAATGACTTACCATCGTATTCTACATCAACCACGGCTTCTCTAAAGGTGAAAGATATAATGCTAGACATCCTTAAGCTCTCTAAAATGACCTGCAATTGAAGTTCTTCTAGCTGATGAGAGCGAACTGTGAGTATAATATAAGTAGTTCTAAGAAGAAAAGATTACCCTGTAAGTTAGTGACATATTTCTTGTTTGAGCCCATGTCAACGGCTTCTTTCCTCCATTTGATTCGTAAATTGTTCTTTGTTCTGCCTGCAAAAGAAATGATTTTTTTCTTAAACCTAGGAGCCGGACTCGCAATAGAACATGCTAGAAGCGCTAATGGAGATGGGAAACAGAAAGTGATTTACCATATACACTGATACTGTTAATTTGTTTTTACACTAAGGTAAGTTTTAGCTTACTATAGTAGGCTAACTAATTGATTACCTGTAGTTATCTTTTTGGGTGATTCAATAGTGTGTAGTTCCTTTTCACTGTGTTTATTTAACTAATCAATAGAAAGCAAAAACACTAGGTAGGAACCAAAAGGAATCTGGAGACAATACCTTAACAGTTTCTAAAAGTTTCTGGTCATCAGAGATGTACTTAAGAATCCATGTTAAAGCACTAGCTGTTGTGTCCTGGGCAGCAAAGAGTACTCCGATGACATTGTCAGCAATTTGATATTCTGTTAAATTCTTCCCTTTCTCATCTTTGAAATTCAACAGATGACACAAGAGATCTTTCTCTACCGTTTTTTTCTCCTTCCTTTCACTGATTATCTCACTAAGAATCTGATTAAGCTTCCTCCTTGCCTTTGTCAATAACAGAAAATTTCAGCATAAAGCTATGGAATAAACAAGTTATTCCCAGTAAGTTCATACGGAAGGAATAAGAGAAACTTTACTTACCACCATAGCTTTGTAATAAGCAGTTCCGGGTAAATTCGTAGGGAAAGAGTTATAGCCCTTTTCTACTATAGAATAATTTTTGTTGAGCTCCTCTTTGTACTTAGCATCCAGCTGACCAAATAAAGCAAGAATGCCTACTTCAAAGGAGAACTGTAACATGTCCATCAGATTCACATGTTAGACTGATTTATAGATTATAATCTTGTGGTCAGCTCATTTGAAGATATAATTAAGTAATTAAAAGTGTATGCTCTTTAACGGTTTAAGCTTTTTAGATGAGATGGTATCACAATTTAACAAGTAGCAACGAGCTACTAGTAACAAACCTTCTTCATCACACGGAATGTATTGATGGTTTGGTTCTTCTCCGCCCATAATTCCAATGCAGAAATGGCCAAGTCCTCGATCTCAGGAATTAGTTTACGAAGAGCTTCAGGAGCTAGCGAGCTCTGAACCACCTTCCTTAGTCGAGAATGGTAGTTTCCTTGGTAAAAGAACAAAGCAGAAGGGCCAATCAACCTCTCTTTGCTCTTAGGGAACGTTGGTTTGAACAAGTGAGCGTAAGTTAGCAGCACGAATCTGGCAGCTTCAGGACTAGCTAGCATAACGCAAGGATACCCAAGAATGTGTGTTTTGAATATATCACCATACCTGCAAACAAACATTAAAAATAGAATGCGTATATGGCATATGCTTTTAATGAACTGATGAGTATTCTTTTCTTTGAATTAATAGAACCTTTTTTGTTTGTTAGCAAAGAGGACACTTGGATCTTGAGAGTACAGTTGGAGAGTTTCCCCTATGTACGGCCAGCCCATTGAACCAGGAGGCAGCTTTGCTTTTTGTAAGTTTGTCCATTTTGATTTCTTTAATGAACTATGATAGTATAAGAGAAGAGCTATAAGAAAGAAAAGGACGTAAATGGAACAAGAAATATTCTCCATCTAAATGGAGAAGTTCAGTGTTGTGCTTTGCAATTTTATATTATATTAATTTCTTTTGTTTTTGATGGATTATTTAACTAGTGAGAAAAAGTTCTCCCTATATATAGGAAGAAGAGGCTGGGATAGAGACGAGATATATAGGGAAGAAGGTTTGCCAAATGTTGGGTAAGAGGGGTTATTATATTACTGTATCATGATATGCCATATAATAGATTCATACATATCCAAGGTAGGAGGAGGAAATTGGACCACATTAAGCAATATCAAATGTCATCTGATGAAGTGGACCTATTGTGTTGAAACAAGACAAAATTCACACCAATAGCTGAGTACTTAGTTTTGTCTGCTTTAACGTATATTTTTGTGCTCCTCTTCTTTTAGAGGTGACTATTTTCGTTTTGTTCTCATAGTTGTGCGCATGTGATCTTTTGATTTCCTTTTACTTTTACTTTCGAGTGAATACCAGAAGTAATGGTGTTTATCAAGGCCCACTCAAGCGGAAGAAAATTCTCATTCATATTGATTATGTATGTGCACTGCTTTTGAGCCAAGGATTTATCAGAAAGCAACCTCTCTACCAAACTAAGATAGGATAAGGTATGCATACATCCTACACTCCTACCTTTCCCACACCCTGCTTGTGGAATTACCTCAGTATATTGTTGTTGTTGATTGGTTGTTGGGGGAGTGGAGCGATCAGGAACTGATCACATAGTAAAATACAGATATGTAGATCATATAATATCCTAATCGAGTTCATATAATAACACACACATATATGATGGTACCTCAATTCAAAAGTTCTCTTTCAACTGGAAAATGAGCATGTCCGTGGTCCATTGTAGAAACATAGAGCCAACGTAAACAACAAAAAGTTTTGATGACTTTCTGAATATGCTCATTAATTTGCATATAAAACATATGAGAATATTTTCTGAACTATGCAATAACGTTTTTGTAACACCACTCTCCCTCTTGAGTTATTATAGCACATGATAGGCTCTTCTAATTTGTTTTACATGACATAAGTGATTAGCAGATGTGTATTTAGCTTCAAAAGTAATATCAGCAACTATAGAACTTTGTTGCTTCTGTATAACTGCTATGATATAATTGTCACTAATCACGATAGCATTTTCCTTCTGCCTTTTAAATATTTCTGTTCGAGAATTCAGTTATTAGTGTTCCCAATATAGGTAACTCTGAAATGAACAACTCAAAAATATCTTTTGCTTTATTCTACATATAAAAATAGATAAATATTTGTCCGTTGCACTAACTATTTATACTAATTGTATAATGGTTAATTAGTCATACATTACTAGAGAAGAATTGATATTGATGCAGTTTGTCCTACAAGTATTTGATGTTTTTGGCTAGTTATAAGGTGAAGGATATCTTTAGTTTGTAAACATATAACCGTGAAAAGTAATGCTATTTGATTATTGGTAATATATGATATAATATGATAGTGGATTTTGTTTTTTTATGCATAGCAATCCTTGTTAAGAGGAATCTTTTTCAGTGTCTAATTTTAGAATTGTTCAGTACAGTGTAGTGTGTACTAGTGAAAAGTGTGATGCCACGACTGTGATGCTTTATCCACCTCAGAGTTTAGATTTTAATTGGTTAGGCATGATATTGATGTGTGAGGCTTCAACAAATAGAATATAAGTTTCCATTCTTATGGTGCACGAAAATGGAGCCAAACCAAATTATTGTTGCACTAAGATAATAAAATTCTGGCTAAAAGTACCGCCCTTATTCAACAGATAGCCATCACAACCATTTGTATATTCCCTTTTCTATTTTTTTAAAATTATAATTGTGTTGTTTGAATTAGTTTAGGCATTACATTCATTCGTTTTTTTTGAAGTACCTGCTACTTTCCAACAACATAGGTATCATGTAACTTTGTCCGTCTAGGTTTGTACTTTGGACAAATAGGAAGAAATTTGAACTTGAATTGTGTTAGGATATGGACTTACCTGATTGTACCCACTTCATTGAATACTAAACCATGCCCTTGAATACAATCATTTGCATCTTTTAGTCTGTCCTAAAAAGAAACTTTATGAGGAAGATGGAGGATAGTTATGTATCATGTTTACGAATAACTAATAGCTAAATTGCTTCGAGTTTAATTGTTCCTTTCACTATATTTATTTCTATCCTTTTTACTATGTAAATATAAAAATGTCTCTCTGTATATATATAGGAGTAAATGTTGTAATTTTAGAAAGTTACTACCTCCATCAATATTTAATTATCATAGTTTTCTTTTTTAGAAAAATTACTACCTCCGTCAATTTTTAATATGATATATTTCTCATCATATTGCAATTTATAGTAATTTTTTATATAATTTTTAAATATCTAAATTTTTTTGTTTAATGAATAAATATAATTTAATTTAACTTTAAAAATTAATCACATTGACTTTAAAAATACAATAAAGACAATAGAAGTGGATGAAATGAGGAGAAAATTGCAAATCTTGAAAGTCCCATAGTCGCAATGAGTCCTCACGTGCGAGGTGTTGGGATCCACAGAGCAGTACTCCATCACAGAGCCGCTATGATCTCAGAGATTTTGGATCAGATGGTCGGCATAACGCGCCATCTATGATATATTGATTTATTTGACGTCAGATTTCCAATACCAAGATGGTAGGAGCCGTCATTCGTAGCTGGATGAGACACGTGTCAGCATACATACGGCTATGCTTATTACATATGGATAAAGAAAATAAATAGGATGAGTGAGTTACTATACACTGAATGATAATAAAAAAACTAGCGAGTCGAGAAATATCAAGACTTGTGGGATGCACTTCATCCTTCTGTCTTTAATCAGAAATATCAGTCTGAATTTTTGAAATTAATAAGATTTGATAGGAAGGAGTTCCCCTGTGATGAGTCTTACGCAATGTAAGCACAAATTAATCAAGTGAGCTATTGAATAGAATGAGATGGTTGTCTAAGGAACTAGTTTTTAGAGTTCAGGTCTATTTGCTTTTGGATCCATAAATTTCAAGTTTCAAGTCACAAGCTTGAACAGTTATCATTTATCAATCCAATTTTCAGAACTTCCTCATATGGTGACAAGCCTGTTTGATCTCTGGTGTCCTCATGACACAAGCCTGTTGAAGATTTACGTTTGTTTACCAGAAACGCCTAGAAGTACTAACAATGCACCCATACTGTATATATACTCCTAGAGTTGCAGTTTAGTCTAATGTTACACTAAACGCTTGATTCATGTCTGAGTTGTAAATTAATGATGAACTAATTTTATAGTTAAATAACTAAATTGTCAAATAACTAAATTGTCAAATAACTAAATTGTCGCTAATTCTTGATTTAACTATGGATTAGTAACGAAGTTCCTAGCTAATTCTAGTGTTTTTTAGTGTAATAATTGAATGGTTTGTTATCATTAATGAATAATGAGAAGATTGTTATATGTAGATTAGTTTTATTCCATATTCTGTATTCTATTCATATAAAATATTTGTAAGTAGATTCTTGTCTAACTTAATATGAATTAATTTAATACCGGATAGATGTTATATTGTCATTATCTTTTCTTAGTCAACCATATGCCATGGATGCGGCATTTATAACTTAATACATAATAGTATTATCTCTCACGATCCAAGTTCTTTGACAATAGGCTCCAAAAGTTAAGTTTAATCGTATACGAAGGATCTATATAGCATAGTTATCTTGCTTTTAAAGTTTAAAACCAAATTAAGCTTTCCCCAAGTATTTGAACGTAGAAGGAAGAAGAAAAAGGTCATGGAAATGGGACCTAGCTAGTTCACAACAAGACAAAATAGCGTGATCTTCAACTAATAGTGGATGGAATGGGTAATAAAATAGAGCAGGATTTTGTGAATCATTCTCTTTGGCCATGCCAATGCAGTAAAAGTACTCTTCGAAATGTGCAAAAGAATAAGATCCAAGTAAATTAAAGAGACGCTGCAACACGGCACGGCGCTTCTACCTATCAACACCAAGCACTGATTCTTTAATCTTTAAAGAGATTAGTAATCTTGGGGATAGAGACAAGGATAATCCAAAACCAAATCCAATTAAATTTAATGAACAGCAATTTTTAAGATTCTTAATAATGTACTGTTAAAATTATGAGTTCAAAATTAAAATTTACTAAGACCTTCGTATGGATATAGTTCGTATTGAAATTCATTCAGGTTATTCACACGGAGCAGATTGTCTGATAAGTACCAATATCGATATAGGTTGGATTTTCGTTGAAATATTCAATGAATTTGTAGAAAGATATTTCTCATCCAACATAATCTCCCAAAATGCTGTTCTTGGAATAAGCTCCCTCTTCCTAATCTGGGAGACTGGGACCAGTAAAGAGGTTGTTTTGGAATTAATAATAATGAAGAGTTTGGTATCAAAAGAATATCTAAATTTTTTTTCCATTTTATATCACAATCATTCATTGTTTTATTCATCTATCACATTTTATCAATCTTTTTTATGTTAAAACACATTTTGATGTTGAGTTAGCTTAGAGATATATGTTGCAAGATTATTGAAAATGACCATTTAATTAACTCGATATTGAGGTGTGTTTTAATATTAATGAAATAATAATTTAAATAGATGAAGATAACAATGTATAATTGATGCCAATATGAAACTCGAAAAAGAATAGTTTAATTTGTTTTTACTACTAATTCATGTAATGAAATTTTCAAAGTTTTTGGTCAAAATCATCTTTAAACTAAACTTCAAATTTAAACTACAATCTTAAAATATCATTCTTATCATAAAATATCTTTCAACTATTTTAAAGTAAATAATCTTTATCATTCTACTTGAATTTATCAGAAAACTAATTAATATATCCCACAAAAAATAAGTCGTCCCTTCCTAATTGTTATTCTTAGATATGTCAAGAATATTATCGTGAACTTTTTCATAATTGAGTTAAGAATTATGCAAAATCTTTTAATTTGATCATTTTTTTAGTTCATTTTTCATATAATTTTAATTAAAAATATTATTAGTTTAAATATGTTTCTTCTCAATTGAATATGCTAGAAGCGACATTTGTTAGATACTTCTCCTTCTAATAATGTAGAATGGAACTGAAATACGAGACATAATCAATATTTTGGTCACTTCGATATTAGATTGACCCAAAAATTTATTAATTTAATTGGTTAAGAAAAAGATAAAATAATTAATCTCCAACTTGTTTCCGTTATGAAAAAGGCAAATCATGTACGCTCTTACCTTTTAATCATGTTTAGTTTCCATAAGCAATAGTGTCTAAGATTTTTTATATTTTTTAAGAACTTTTTGTAGAAAGTAATGAAATTATGAATAATAATTTTTGTTGATAGTCACTACTCCTGTTTTCGTAAAATTCCTTAATTTTTTGACAATATCTAATAAAAGGATGAAAGTTGTTCACTTACAAATACTTAAAGAATGTTTTATGCTAAAAATGATACTTTAAGGATGTAATTTAAATTTGAGATATAATTAAAGAATGTTTTCTGCTAAAAATAATACTTTGATGATGTAACTTAAATTTAAGATATAATTTATGGATATGTTTTGGCCAAAACTTCCACAGGCCCTTTTCTTTTTTCTCCGTATGACAGACAACAAGACTAATCTATCCCCTTCTAGAAGTGACAAAGTAATTGATCATGAAAAGTACACCAACATTAAGGTCCACGTCATATTAATAGCATTTGTTTAATGTGACAAATCTTTTTATGACACTAATTATTATGATCCATGATACATGAAATTAAATACCCCACGTATTGAATAACAATATGTCATGTGAACATAATTAAACAATGACAATGTGCGAAACTACTCATTAAGGATCTGAATATATGTATTACAAAGTCTTAATAATTATCCGACTCCTTTAACCACTTCAACTATAACTTTTTGTCCCTTATTCAGAACTCCTTTTACCAATTATGGTGAGGTAGATATATAATTAGAGAAGTGTACGACTTGGTTTTTCTTTCATTATAAACCATAGTAATTTTTCCACTTGTTTTAATTTCATTTGTCGTCTAGAGAGGTGGTGGTGGTGCATTTGCATATTATCTGTTACTCATTTTATCGAACAGCTATCTAGATGGATAAAGAAATGTGGATAAGCACGTTGAAAATAGTGCATATTATATGGTTTGAAGATCCTTATAATATTTATAAGATCCATTTTGGGATTTTGTTGAATCTGCAAAAATATTCGTATAAGACACTAAAGTCAAACCACTTTATCTGCAATGCATGGCATCAAAATGTAACGGGATTTTGTTTAAATTTTTTATCTTTTTTTTAAAAAAATAAATTTAACAAGCCATTGTTATAGTAGTGATTTTATTTTATTCGGCGAATAAAATTCCTACTTCGTGAGTAATTTTGTCGTTTTGGTTAAAAAGAAATTTCATATACTGTTTTGAAATTTTTGTTAACATTTTTCACCCTTTAGGCTCCAGAATCTGTGTTTGATAGGTACACTTTTTTGAATGGTTTAAGCAGAGGCGGACCCACATGGTGTCCGTCAGGTGCTCGAGCACCCATTAAATATATCTATGTAGAAATTGATAGGTATTTGTATAAAATTAACACAGAGCACCCAATGAATAAATGAGTTAGTTGGCCCAATGGCTCCTGAATGGGTACTTAAGACTTTTTTAGTGTTGTTGTACCAAGGTTCGAATCTCACTTTTAACACATATTTTTTATATTTTCACGAACACCCACAACCTTAAATTCCTAGATCCGCCAATGGGTTTGAGTGTTCAATAAGAAGCAAGTCTTGTTAAAGTGTCTATAAAAAAAATCTTAACAAATTCAAGGGACCGCTTATGTGTTCTGCCTTTTAAGTTATAGATACATCATACGTCATACATAGTTAAGCACAATTTGTTTCTCATTTACATGTGTTCAACATTTAGACTGCATTAAGATGTAATTTTTTTACACTAATGATGCATATCTTAAATTAAATAAAAATTTAAAGAATGACGTAATGTTTTTAACGGAGGGAAGGAAAAATCTGACTTCCCATTAGATGTATGCAATAAAGTTCACACAATACTTTTGATAGTATTAGTAGATCCTATTCAAACCATCCTTTTTCGATCCATAGTAGCATTTCGTTGGGAGTTAAAATTGATTTTTTTTTTGTTTTATCAATTGTATTAAAAAATTATCCTTTCGGATTATAATTATTATTATTTTCTACTAGTGTTTGATTAAATTATAATATATAAGTATTCTTGGGATAATATTATACTCTTCCAATTCCAATTTAAATAATCTAGTTTGAATTTTGAGAGATTTTTTTTTATTTTGACTGTCCATTTGGACATAATCTTTCAGTTTTTTTTTAAAAAAATAAACATGTATAGAACTACATTAAAATATTATATATCAACAATAAAATTAAAGGACATGAATAATTAGGGCAAAAAATCAATCTTATTTGACTCAATTCAAGCTATATCGAGCTAAAAACACTAACAAGAGAAAGGAAAAAAGGGGTTTTATTAAATTGGTAGATTGAATCTGGAGTTTTAGTAGAAAACAGGGAGAAAAGATGCCCAAAAAGGATAGTGGATATCTTGTAAAGTATATGTGCCAAATTTTGCCAAACTAGGTCACCTACTCTTTGATTCCCAATTTGGAATCTACTGCCTCATTACAATACATCCTCTAATACCTTCTTTTTTCTTTTTGGCACAATTATTGACATTCCAAAAAAAATTGACATCACTTTATTTCCCAATTTGAAGTCCCCATATTTTTTATTCCAAAATGAATAGTGGTATTTACTTTGTTTCCTATCTAAAATATCAAATTAATTGTTTTATATATGGTACAATCATCCCTCAATTAAATCAGAACCAGACACAATCTTGAATAATTGGATTTTAAACTGTATATGACACATTAAAGAAAAAAGATATTTTATATCAAGGGTGTTTTTATTTATAGTTCTCTAAAGTTAGGCTTTTCCATGAAAAAATATATGCCATTCTAGATTTTTCAAAAAAAAAAAAAGTAACTTCCAGAAACGTAGTTTAAAAGATGATGCACTTTAATGCTCTAGTTTAAGAATGGGTTGGAAGAACAAATTAGGACTAATTATGGAATCATGGGTTCAACTAAAATAATTATGGCATTTAGCTCAGTAGGTGTATATTTATAAGATCAAAGTCGCTTTAAAATAGAGCAGCGCAATGCACAAAATATAGAGTCACTTTGAACTCAACAATTGTTGATTTTGATTTCGTATTTTGTGGTTTTTATTGCTAGACTGGAGGATTCCACACATTAGCTGATTTTGTTTTCCAGTTATGTCTCCATCAGCTCATTAAATAATTTGAAATGATCCTTTTCTTTTTTGTTACTTTTAATATTTAGTTTTAGGACTGGTTCATATGGTATTGGGCCAGGCCCAAAATGCATCGGACAGCCCAATGTGAATACTTACACAAACAGCTATTGGGTCGAGAAGAAGTAATAGGACCAAAAGGTCTTCATAAGGTATAAAATCAAACTGAATATCGAATGAAACCGGAAATCAATTTAAATTAGAAAAAATTTAATTAGTGGTTTGATATTGAAAAAAATTCGATTATATTTGGATTGATTTGATTTTAACTAAAAAAAAATAATTCGAGACCAAATCAACCCTACATTATATATATAGTTTTAAAATGTTATTTTATACATTAAAATATCTACTTTGATATAATTTTTAAATATTTCTTATAATTTTTCATAGTTTTTATCTTTTAATATATCATTTCAAGTTTGAAACTTAGAATTCACAATGGTCCAATAAAGATTATAATTAATAGATGTTTGTAATTATAATAAAGGTTAAATCAAAATCAAATCCATAGTAATGTAAAAATAAGATTAATTCAGCACTGAGAATGATATAATATTGTATATTTCTTATTTAATTTTACATTAGTTTATACAATTAAAATGCATAATCTGATTTTAATTTTATTTGATATTTAGTCATGTAACTAATACTTATTATATTTTAGCATAATTTAGTACTTTTAAATTATGATCATTTTCAATATGACTTATTATTTTACAATATTTGTTTTATGTGATTTTTTATAATTATTATTATTGGATATTTTAGCTCATTAATCATATCACATTTTGTGTAATTTTCTTAAGAAACATATAGAGGTGTTAAATGGGCGGGTTGGATTGAAATTGAGAATATTATAATGGGTTGTGTTGAAGAAGAAGGAAAGTGACGATTGGAATATGCCAATGAGTCAGGTCCAACGCAGTTGATTGACTTGTCTACAGCAGTGTTGTAACTCACCAGTCAACTTCGTTGGACCTGTTCCGTCGACATGTTCCAATACTCATCTTTCTTCTTCATCAACACTTGTGTAGACAAGTCAGTCAACTGATGTTCCAATCCTCAACTTCCTTCTTCATTTACACTTGTTGTAGATGAGTCAGTCAACTCCGTTGGACCTATTTCTTTGACATGTTTCAATCGTCAGTTTCCTTCTTCTTCAACAGGTTGAACAGAAATCGGGTTGGGTCTTGACCTGTCTAAGTTTACTTTAGGCTCAAATGAGCTCAAAAACGGGTTGGGCTTGATCCGCGCAATTTGACCCGATTAACTTCAATAATTTAACATATTGATAATTAACTTTTATAATCACAATTTGAATTTCTGCTCAAGAATTTTTTGTTAAAAAAGTAACAATTAGATTGATAAAATCTAAAAGATGTTAAATAGAAAATAATTCATACCTTTAATATAGAAATATAATTTAGTAAAGAAATTTAAAACTGGTTGAAATTAGAAATTGAATTGGGTTCAATTGAGAATTCACTTTAAATGAATTAAGTTTGAATCAGTTGAGATTGAACCTAATTGAAATTATCTTGAGCCCAACCCTTAAAATTCTAAGCGGGTTGGGCGGGTTACATGCGTTTGGATTCATTTTTGACATCCCTAGAAACACATTAGATAGTTGTATTTGGCAGGATTAAAAAAATATTTGAAGTACAAGTAAATTATATGTTTGTATGAATACTTTACTGAAAACCCCGAGATTGAAAAACTCAAATTTTTCTTAATTTGATTTAATTTATAAATTTAAAATTCTGACACAAACAATACAATTTAATATTAAAAAAACCTGAATCAATTTGTCATGTACACCCGTATCACAAACATATAAATAAACTTTAGAGTGATATTTGAATTGAATTACTATACTTTTATCGAGTACAAGTAAAAAGAATATAGGGGTACTCCTAAATACGAAGCAATAACAAAGGCCTATAAATTTTTTTTAATCAAACAGAGTTATCGATACTATTTACTGAGACGTAACAGAATATAAAGTATTGTATTAGACAAAAGAGTAAATGCCTAACATTAGTAATGGCCAATACAATGTATCTTCTTTTTCTTTATTGAATTCCAAGTTTTTCCCAGGTTTAGATAATAAATTTGTAAATTTTCTTTATTCAAATAACCTACTAATAATTTTCTACTTATTTAGTAATATATTTATCTATCTGAGAAAAATAATTCAAGTAAAGAAATTATATAATTGTGTTAGTTGGCATTAAAATGATTCAATATATATAGTTTTCGATACCTTACTTTACAAAAGAAAATCATTCTAGCTATTAAAATTTAAGTAAAAATACATATTATTTGTCATAATAAATATTAGTATGTTGCATTTTGATATTATTTGTCATAATAAATATTAGTATGTTGCATTTTGCACACTTGATGTATATATTGTGTTGTAATTAAGGCTTTTAAGAACTAAACTAGTGTATTAACTATTAGTAGCTCGCCAAAATCAATAACTTTACCTTAAACTCGATTAATTAATGTGGATAATGATTTTTTTTTTTAAAATCGCGTCAATAATTAAAGACTTGATTTCAAAAACAATCAAAAAATATCTTTTTGTTATAAATACATTGAATTAAGTGGATAGTCCATAAGGTTGGTACATGAACAACCATTCATATTTACTAGGTGACATGAACTTTTTTGGATAAGAATGTACCTATTTATTATGATACTTAATATGGTGACCTAAATAAGATTGTTCATTCACTATTGTAATATATACATATGAGATTTGCATACACTTGAATAAAAGAAAGTCTTATCTTCCATCTTACTCCTCTTGTCTTCATCTCTTTATATTTATATTGCCATGAGCTTGATTTTATGACACTTTTTTTTTTTGAGAAATTTCTTTCTAATGACTTTTCAGATTTCTAGCCGCCTTATTTTGAATCGTAACAAATTCTGAAATTTCAATATAACTAAATTATAATATAATTTCAAAATTAAAATTTTAAAGAACCCACTCTTTCAGCAAGTCCCAAAGTTGTACTGACCTCCTTCTCTGGTTTGACAAAAAATTGGTCCTATCTCCGTCCATACTAAAAATTCCTTAAAATAAACAGCCACGTTTATTTTTTCAATTTTTCAGTTTCCAATCACTGTATAACTCCTTTTTATCTTCTCTCCGAATAAAGCCATTCCGAATGTTGCCTCTGATAAATTCTTGTTCAATCTTCACTCCTCTAAGTTCTTCATTACTTCCTCCTCGTAGATCCACCGTCATTAGTTGCCAAGCCGCTGCTGACCCATCAGCTGCCGGCGGACCCTCGTCCTTTCGCTGGTGGTTCAACTTCGGCGCCGCCGCCTCTGCTGCTGCTGCACCTGGGTTTGGGAGAAATAGCCAAAACTCCGACGAAGTTGCTGATAATGGAATCGGGAATAACATTAAGAAGAAGAAGACAAAAGTGAATGCGAAGGAAAGGCGTTGGTCGCGTAATAGAGAGAGTTATTTGGCTGATGATGGTGATGCTCTTCCTCTTCCTATGACTTACCCTGACACTTCCCCTTGTTCCCCGGAGGAAATCGACCGCCGGCTGCAGTGTGATCCTATAATTGAGGTTTTTTTTCTTTTAAATACTCACTCCGTCCGTGTTAATCTGATTGCACATTGAATTTAAGAAATAAAACTAGACTTTTGAATCTTGTAGTGTTAAATCAAACTTGTGTTGAAATAGGTAAAACTTATAAGACACATAAATTGGAACAGAGGGAGTTTCGTTTAGAATCTCTTTATGGAATGGTTCATTTGGTTGAGGTATTTGTTGGATTTCTGTGAAGTTGCAAACTTGCTGACTCCAGTTGAGAATCTCGAGGTCTACGTCGATATATGGTTTGGTAATACTTCTATGGTCTTGACCTAATGCCATGAGGATAATGCTGTAGAAGTAACTTGAACCGTTTGATTGACTAACAATCAGCTCATTACTTAAGCTCATCAATAGGTTCAGATCTTAGTATATCTACAAACATCTAAAAATGTTTCCTTTTAAGTTTTTTTTGTCTAGGGTTGATGGTTTTCTGTTGATCTTCTTGTTAATTTAGGATTGCAAGCAAGTTGTCTATGAGTGGACTGGAAAATGTCGGAGTTGCCAAGGGACAGGACTTGTCAGCTATTATAACAAAAAGGGGAAAGAGACCATCTGTAAATGTATACCTTGTGCTGGAATCGGTATAAGAATCATACTTCTATTTCCTATCTGAATATCATCTTGTATGAAGATTTGCATGGCATAGTTTATCTATACTGATTTGCTTGGAGCATAGAGATAAACATCTGTAGATGGCTTCATTTGTTCTCATTGACTATCTATTGTAGGATTAAGCACTTCCCTGCTAGCATAGATTTAATTGGTAAGGTTTTCAACTGAGTGGTATGTCAATATACATCTGACCTATTGAAGTTAAGGTAGCTTTCTATCTGTATGGATCTTATCCACATTCCTAAATAGCTACCCCTTAGGAAAAGATCATGATGGAGTTGCTGAAGGAAGTAGAAAGTGGGTAAGAGAGATGGTTAGTGGTGTCTTGAAGTAGGAGCTGTTGAAATCAGGGGATTAACAGAGAAAAATATGATAAGCTTGAAGTTGTGGGACAGCGGGAATGTATGGAGGATTTTTTTTTCTTTCGTAAAGATATCCATAAGTTTTAAGAGATTCTTGCTCTTTTTCTGATTAATTATAATTTCACTCGTATAGCTGGTACAAGAAGACTTTCAAAACATTGAACCTATTCCTAGAGATTGTTTCATCTATACTAGATATGTTGCTGCCCGTGCATGTACATGTACGTCTCCTCATTTTTACTTCGGGTGGATAAGTAATATTCTGAATATGCATTATTAAGGAAGGTAAAGGTAGTAATGTTCGGTTGGTTAGGAAGTAGGGATATTATATAAGAGAAACTTTGTGAATTTTATGTGGTTTTCCTTTCAAATAAATATCAAATATTCCTATTTCTGCCAGATCAAAAGATCTATGTCACTATATGATGTTGTAACTTTTCAAGTAGCAAATTTGATTAGTCTGCACAGAAACTTGGAATGTCAAATTCATATATCATTTAGTTCCCTGAAGATGAACGGAAGGAGGAGGATTGTTTTGGACAATTACTTTGACTATAGAGGTGTAGATGATTTTTGGTTAAATATGTCTTTAGCAGTCTATCTCAGACATTTTATACTTCAAAAGAGAAGAGCTATGAGAAAACTCTAGCATTTTGGTGTTTTTACTTTATCTTCATACTAGTCAGCTGCTGTAGGTACTAAGAATCAGGGAATTTTTCCATCCCTTGGTAAATAAATTAATGAATTAGGATTTGGAAGGATTATATACATAGTTCTCATCGTTTGTTGACTTTAAAGTTTAAACTAGTTTATGGATTTCAGTGAGGAATTAGTCCCAGGATGCAGCATTTCTGTTTCTCATTTTCAGAAGTTGTTTTCTTAACGGACTTGTAAAGAAAGAAATATATAAAATAATTTTCTCCTTACAGGCCTTGCATAAACTTCAAAAGATAATTTTAAAAAATAGAACGATGAAGCAAATAACTCTCTGTGGAAACTCCTAATCAGTAAGGCAACTACCATCTTGTTGAGATTGTGGAGCTGTCTATTCTTCAATCCCTAGAGTTTTTTCTTTTTGCTTGACATGTCTTATGCTTTAAGCATTACTCGCTGGGGCAATCTGGTCTTCACTTAGCTGATATTTTGGGCTTCTGCTGCTGGTAGCCTGGTATGAAGAGTAGTCTATGCAATGCTTCTCGCATCTTTTCATAATTTTGCATCTCAAAGAATAAGAGTCCTTGGAGAATAGGACTTGAAGTTTATGTCCTATATTGAATCTTCAGATGACACACTTTTCCTTTTCTTGTGCATCTCTATATCTGTAAGATGTACGTAAAAGTTGAGAGAGAACATTTTGTTTGACACACTAGCTAAGACAATGGTATTTCCTAATATTTTGTGCAATTAGCATGTTTCCTGTACTGGTTTAAATTGTCTGCCCTAAAGGAAAAGGCGTGTTTCCTCCATGTTTTCCAGTTTCCGCTTTTTCTTCTTGTAGTTTCAGATATTCATGTTTATGCCTCTAAAGGTGGAATAAATTCCTGAGGCATTCTTTCTCCATCTGTCCCTGAAAATAAAGTTGTCAACCACAGTAATGGTATTTAAGTTGTTGATTCCTTCAGTATCTAATGTGGTCCAAGAAATGATATGGATTAAAATAAATACGAAGGTATCTATACCTCTACGGAAAATTGGTATGCCCACAGGGATCTGTACGTCTATAAATAATTAGCCTCTAAAAGTTACTTTGCTGCTGCTTTGAAAATCTGGATTATGAATGTTTATTATTTGATTATTTCGAAACTGATATGTGCATTATATCTTCCTGGGATCAACTTTTTTTTTTTTTTTTTTTTTGTGGCTCAAGTAACAGATATATGTCCAGAATCTCACTCTCAGATCTTATACTTTGACATTTCAGGTTATGTGCAGAAAATAACACTACGCACGGATATTGATGTAATGGTGGACTTGGATGATAAACCACCTTAGACAAAAGAATACTTGTACCATTTTGTTTAAACCAGTATACATTAGGAAGCTTTGAGGAGACACGTAACTTCGCAGAATTGTTCTATTCTTCGAGGAGCAAACTGTGCGTCCAATATTGAACAAAATTGATTTGTCAAATAATGAACATATTCTATACATCCGTAGCAGAATAAAGTAATTTCGGAGAAAGAGATGAGACGTCTGGAGCAACTGAACAAGTTGGGCAAGGATCGTATTTGTAACTTAGCTTTTTCACTTCAGTTTTTTCCTTCTTGGTTCTGGAATGGTTTTCATACAGTCATACGTTTAGTTGAGAATCTTGGTTGCTTTACTAGTAATTGAGGAATAAAAAGTATTCTTCGTTATCTTCTTTACTTTAAGCATCAGAATATGTTCCTTTGTTCGTAGCCATTCAACTATTTAAGGTCCTTTGCTACAATGTTAGTCAGCAAGTTCATTCCTGTTTTAAAGTCTTAAGATATCTTCACCCAATCAGCAAGTAGAAAAAATGTCAAACCCTAGCTTTCTTGATTTCCAGTACAACCTCTCGAAGAGAAGTTTTCTGCGTAAGCCAACTAGGATGTTCACTAGAGAGAGGCAGAACTCACGTTCGCTGCCTGTTTACCAACCTAGTGTTGATGAACTAAAGAAAGTTTTTGATAGATTTGATTCAAACAAAGATGGCAAAATTTCGCCAGAAGAGTACAAGGCTATACTCAAAGCCATGGGGAAGAAGAACCTCCTTACGAGGGAAGTTCAAAAGATTTTCGATGTGGCAGATGCAGATGGTGATGGATTCATTGATTTCAATGAGTTTGTGGCAGTGCAGAAGAAGGAAGGCGGAGTTAAAACTACGGATTTGCAGAGTGCCTTCCATACTTTTGACAAGGATGGCGATGGAAGGATCAGTGTGCAGGAAGTGTACGAGCTGCAGAAGGGACTCGGACAACGTTGCAGCCTTCAAGATTGCAGGAAAATGGTGAAGGCAGTGGATGCAAATGGAGATGGTGTGATTGATTTGGATGAATTTGTGACTATGATGACTCGCACTATGACACTTTGTTAGAAATCCCTAATTGAAGGCCTCTACTGGGAATTCCAAGATTATCAGTCGTTACAGTTCACTTAGTTATATGTTCCCTGTATAAAGTAAAAATGTAAGGTTTCTGCATGCTGGTGGCATTAGTTCTCATTACAGTTTGATATTTTATGACAAGTCTATACTTTCATATGATTTAGGGTATAATCCAACAGGTTTTGCAACTATTAAAAGTTCAATAGCATTGACAAGATCAAAAGTTAAATAGTAATGTACTGTTGTCATTCTACAAAAACTAGATGAGCCCAACAAGTCCTACTACACTATCACAAAATGACTAACATAGGCATGACCCATGAGCCGATGGATTATCTCTCGTTTATATATAAAAGTCCTATAACAATATGAAATGGGGAATAAATAACACAATTTCATTCATAAAGGTATTCATTGGTATGAATAACACAAAGAACAGCCATTAAGGTTGCCCTCAGATTATTTGGCTGCAACAGATTTTGATGAAATATGCTTTGGTATTGATAGGTTCTTTATCTTTTCTTTGGTATACTTCCAAACACTCTCTTCGGCTCCAGCAGCATACGGTCTTTATGAGTTTCTCCAATGTCCTTCCATATTTGTTGGACATCAATGAATTAGAGTCAAATAAAGATTCAATACTCATAATTCATACAGGAAAAGAAAACTACTAATTGAAGATGGCTTGAGAATGGATATGGAAACATAGGGGAACTCCTAGAGTTTTGCCCTTCAACTCCCTGTTCAATAAAACAACAATTCACCTACACGACTAATTGATGAGAAAATCAAACAAAACAATATACAGAAACACACATCCGAATTAGCAGTTAACAGTTCTTAACTTTAACTACAACCAATCCATCAATCAACTGTAGTCCAATCCCAAATTAGTTTTGAATACTGATACGACAGAATTAGAAAACATCCTAGACAATCAACTAATCAAGAACACAGCACACAAGCCAATGAAAGCATTAATTATTCCCATTATAACTCTTCGAACTATATGATTTCAACTTAACTAAGACAGTGCAAAGGGGAACTATTGCAAACCAATTAAATCATTATAATGGTAAGAACACTCATGCCAACTGTCAAATTATTAATAGACCACTCAAACAAAAAAGTGATCACGTAGTTAAAAGCTAGAAATTTGTCCAAATATATGAAAATTAAAGCAATAAACTTTGGAATATCAAGAAATAAAAGTTCAATAATTATTAAACCTAAAAGGTTCCAGTAAATATAACATTCCCTCAATTAATACCCAAATTCTTCAATGGAAGAACAAGACTAAAAACAAAGAACTGAAGCTTCAAAAGCAGTAACGTCAAGACAAAAAGAGGAAATACCTCTAGTTCTCTATGTAAAGAGTGGCAAGTAGAACTCATATGGACACTGCAGCAAGGACTTGCAAAAGCAAAGCCAACATATCTTCTGATGATGAACGATGTCATGCCTCCATCTTTCCCATTCATAAAAACAGAGAAAGCTCAAGAAAAGTTAATACTTTAAGAACCTGACACTTGCAACACAGATTTAACTGGCTTCCCCCGATAAAAGCTAACATGAACACCATGAATGCAGTCACACTTGTGTGTTTTTTCATCTTCTTCTAGGTTAATATTAACCCAAAACAAATTCTACAAATAAATCAACATTAAGATAAAACCATTCAAATAATTCTTTATGAAACTTAAAAGGATGATTTCATTTAAATGAAATATTACAAGAATATACTCAAAGTTAGGGAGAAACATAAAGGATGATATTGGTCAAAAATTCCATTTCCCTATAAAGTGACAGAACCAGAAAACAATTTGATAACATTGTGCAGATACAATGGATCATTAATTTGACTGGCACTTTGCTGACTAATCTCTTAAACAGATTCAAACTACTAGAACAGTCTTAGATATCCACAAGGGTGTAAGCAATGCATAACTTGCAAGACATGGTGATTTTCGGCATTGTAATTAGCAATACATAAAAATCCTTGGGGATTCATAGATGACCCTGAACAGAGCTACAACCAGCTTAAAGGGATCTCAACATCACATTCATCCCAACATACAGACTCTTGATGATCCTGAGAATTGTGGAAGCCAGTCTATGTATACTCAGATTAGTCACTATACTTCACCAATAATCTCCACAAGAGCATTTTCCATCCTTGAAATGATGAAACCGCTTGTTGTCCCTGACAATTAACTCTCGCCCAACAATCCTTGACATGATCTTGATGGCATTGTGACAATCACCACATACACGGAGATTCTTTATGATACGTAAAGGTGTTCTGGCAGGAGTACTAATCAGACCATATGCAATGGCTAAACGTTCGCTATGGTATAGCAAAGCCTGTTCCTTGGCTTCCTGATCGATATCATGAAGGACATATCTGGTATCAGGAACGTAAGCTTGTTCTTTCATCGCAGCCCTCAACTTCTCGTCATCCTTGAAGAGGGTTGGGTTGCGAAATTCAGCAACTCTATTTCTTCCCTCAAGCATATTAATGGCTAACTGCTTCTTTACTGGTGGAGTGGGAATCTTATTAGCAACAGCCTTAGAAGGGTCAAGTCCTACCATCAACTCCTCAGCTCGATCCTCAAGATCAATATCGCCATGTATACGAGCATAATTCATTAATGCTTCCCAGACGGCTTCTGTTGGTTCAAATGGAAGCTTTGAGATATATTCCTCTGCCTCAGCAAGATGTCCACATTTTCCTAGAACACCCAGAAGTCCTAAATAGTGCTCCACCTGTGGAGAAATTCCATACTCAGCCATCATTGACTCAAAATGCATGAAAGCCTCATCAATAGCATCTACACTGGCACAAGCCTCGAAAACATACAGGAAAGTTTCCTCGTTTGGTTTCATTCCCGACTCCCGCATCTGATCATACAAAGTCAACCCATCATCCCCCAACCCATTCAATGCATATCCATTTATCATCAAATGCCATGAGTCTAAATTCCTATCACGCATATGATCAAAAACTCTGCGTGCATCTGTCATACTCCCACACTTGGAATACATATTGATAACTTTATTGCTCAAACCAAGATCACTCCTGCATTTTGATCTCAAGAAGTAATCATGCACCTTTTTAGCATCTTCAAGTTTCTTTGAATTGGCACACAACTCAAAGAGCATGTCAAAACATTGTGCATCCGCAACTATCCCCTGTTCCATATGTTCAATAACCTCCTTAACTTTACCCTCTTGGCACAAGCTTATTAAATCAACAGTAGATGGAGGACCACTCGGGACTTGATTTTGCTCAAACTGGGCTTGGTTATTAGATTGATTATTCATTGGAAACCCACTTCCTGGTGGCACCCTCTGTGCCTGAGAATCCAGTTGACTGGGGCTTACTCGTGGAGCATAATTTTGATTCTGATTATTCCACTGATTACCAGCACCAGGCTGTGGATAATTCTGATTTCTATTGGGATTTTGTGCATGTTCTGGATTCTGATATCCACCTTGTGGATAACTTGGAGCCGCATTCGGGGTTCCATGTTGTCTGAAGCCTTGATTTTGATAATTCCATTGGTTAACATTCCCAGGTGGTGGGTAGTTTCGAGGCTCACCAGAGCTCGGCCTATACGGAATGCTCTGATTTTGAACATTAGGGCTTTTCTGATTCTGAAAGCTCTGGGAATATCCCTGAACAGGATTAACATTTCCATAATTTGGATAACCTTGATTCACCTGATTAGTAGTTTGATACTGAGGATACGACATATTCATCTGATTATTATTAGGATAATTCTGGGTTTGGTTATTCCACTGTTGAGCAGAGCTTCCAAAATCCTTATTTTGCGGAACCTCAGAAGGATGTGGAGGAATTTGAGCATCATTTGGTGCTGCAAATGTTGCTAGGGTTTTCAAATGTAAGGAAGAAAGCGGGGAGCTTAAGGTTAGGGTTTTCGGGAGCTTGATATCGGAAATAGAGCGTGAAGAAGAGTATAACAAACATACCTTGTGCGAAGAAGTGAAAATGGAGACTCGAGTTCTGCGAATCGCCATTAGAGAAGACATTTTTGGAACAGTGATTCAAACGATAAAAAACCCTTTGTTAAACCCTAGCGTGGGAACATCGCTGGTAAATTCTGGACCTTTTCTTATAATTGGGCTCGCGATTCGGGCTGTGGAGGTCGGACCTTCCTGAAACAAAATTTATTTTGATTTTTCTTTTTTTTGAATATAAACTAGAATTTATCCATTATGCTAAGCTACTTAATGGAACTAGTAACATGTGAACAAATTTGTAATTTTTATTTCTTTATTCAAATTTATTTATATATTTAATGACATAATAATTTAATCCTATAGACTATAGTATAGGTCGAGAAAATGTAATTTAAATTCAAATAGAGATAATGATCCTAAGTCCTAACTAATTAGGAAAACTAAAAATTATATCCTTTCAAACTATATCAAAAGAATGTCATCTTTTATAACTAGAAGAAAATATAACTTTAAAAAATATTTTTTATCACAAATAAAATAATTTCATATAAATAATATGATATAATTTAAATTACAATTTTTTTTTAAAAAAAATGTCTTTTAACCCTTGCTACCTAATCAAATGATAACACATAAGTTATGCGTGAACATAAAACAAAATCTCATATAAATACAATAAAAAAAAGTGATATAGTTGATGAGTTGTTTTTCTCTTAATAAGAAGTTTCAAATTTGAATTCTAACTATGAAAAAAATCTTATCAAAAAATATTTTATTTTGAATAAGATCATATATGTTACGAATTTGAAATAGTTAAACCTAACTTTGGCACAAAGCTTGTCTCTTCAGGCGCCTAAATTGGCTCCAAATGGGCTGACTCGGGTTGCATATTTGGACTCATCTAAATGGTTGAATTTGGCCACTAATCTTTATCAAAGATATGTTTTAGTCAACTCTAATCTCTTCATCAAAAATAAAAATAACAATTAACAACTCTAATTTTTTGGTACCAGCTTCAAATTGGGGCATAACCTACTAGTTACTATAACATTTGAAGTCTAATTCACTTGAAATTTCTCTGTCTTTTATAGAATTGATCTAATATGATGCTATATTATATATATACACACGTAAATTTCATTGTGCGGAAAGAAAATATATTGAATTTATTCTCATTTTTTTAAAATTAAACAAAGTTAATGACTAGCTTACTTAGTGAGTACGTAACTTTTTCATTTTTCACACATTGCTTAGATTATTATAGTGATGATCGACGGAGTTTTCATTAGAAAGTTATATTCACATAAACATTATAAAAAGAAACTCAATTTTATATATTTAAACGAAATAGCTTACACAATTAACTGACCTTGATTGTGTGATAAAAAAAAGTGAACTAAAATCTTACAGACTTAGATCTATAAATTTGAGTCCATTTTTTTATCTCACAAAGAGGAAGGTCACGTAACTTAAATTATCAAGCTGGCGATGCTTAAGTTGTACGTTTTTGAGGTCCATGAATTGCTTTCTCCGTTGCCTTTTCCCACTATTATTGTTATAATAATTATTAATATTATCCATTTTATTGATTATGACTTTCTTGGAAGCTATATATCCACTTTTTATTATTTTCCATAAAAATTATTAATCATTAAATATACTAAGTACTAAGGAAAATTCATGGTTAAATTTTGAAAATAGAACCCCATTTTTCTGGCCGTAATTTAGGGAAATGACTTGGCGTTCCAATCTTATCTTTATTTATTTATTTATTTTTAAAAAAAATTATTATTATTATTATTGAATCAATCTTATCTTTATTTAATATATATAGACCCAAGACTCATTTTTCTTGACATTTTGTAACAGAAAAAAAAACAACTCCCTTAAAAAATTCAACATTTAAGTAAAAGTGATCACTAAGTGGAAATATGCGGGAATAATATATCGTCAAACTTCTTTACAGCAAATGTTTATAGTGATATTTCTTTTATTGTTGTAATAAAATATTATTATAAAGAATTTATAAAATAGTATCACATGGAAAATTAGTTTCGTAAAAAATTATGGCTATTATAGTATAATATTATTATAAGAAATAATATTATTCCTATAAATAAATTTGATCATAATTATACATGCTATTGTCTATATTTATTTACACTACGAATTTATTTTTATCGATTAATTATTTTATTGTATCTTTCAGACTATCAAAATAGAGTGTTTTAAAAAAAATGATACAACGTTTAAACTTTGAGGAGGGTTGGGGGGGGGGGGGGGGGTAGTGAGGGCATGATCTGACTTTTGCTAAACGTGCTTAAGAGCAATAAACATATTACAAAATCGGGATTTCTTAAATTATGAGTATTAAGACAAAATGTGTTCACCCTATGGGAGACACATATATTTTTAGTCCACTTGCAGGTTTATATTTATAGTCTAAAGTCAGTATTTACACAAAAATGTTAAAAGTTTTATCAATATATAGCAATGGAAAACATTTTTTTTTAAAAAAAAAAATTAGAGTAAGGGCTAGTTTCAATTTTGTTCCTTATGGCCAAAATATATTTATGGGATATATAAAATCTGTACACCTAATTATGTACATATTATAGGCATATTATGTACATAATATAGGCATATTTTGTAAACTAGATCACCTAAATAAATAATAATTGGAAAAAAAGTTTGAAATATATTTGAACTTTGATCGAAATTGTTGTTACGATATTAAATTTTGGAAAAGACCTTTTATCCTTGCGCTATTTCTTAGTGTATTTTAAAGTTATATATATGCCCACGTAGACATAAAAAATATTGCATAATCATAAATAATAATGTATTCACGTGGACACATATATACATTTAAAATATACTATTAAATAATTTAAGAGATAAAAAATCTTTCATACAATTTAATATCATCACAATAATTTCGATTAAAATTAGAATATTTTTGTACTCTTTTTCCCTATAATAATTATCCCTTAAAAGAGTAAGCATAAGATACAAATAATAATATACTCCAAAAGTTGTTTGTTTTCCTCTTAATATTCAGTCAAAGGAATCAGCCACCTGTTGGGCACCCATTTGAAGATCCCCTCCTGAGATGCCTTCCTTTTGATGAAGATAAACCAACCATGTGAAGACCAATTTTTCCATCCATAAAATTGAATTTTTTTTAAAATTTTTTTTTGTATCAATATTAATTACTAGTCAATCAAATACCTAAACCAGTATTACTTAAATAATTTTATAAAAATTGAATGAGTCATTAAAAATTCAAAGCATAAAGGTTGATTAGAAGTACATGTGCAATGCCAGTTAAGCATAGGAGATAACTCCATTTTTTATGTGTTGTGTAGAAATTTGTAATTACAGCAACATAACAACCTTATCATAAAATATCTATCTTAACTTTAATACTTTCATTTGTCGGCACAAAACTTTTCCAGATTATAAAGATATTTCACTAAAATTAACGAGAGTATTTCACGATATGTTATGTTTTTTAAAAGTCAAATTTATTAACTTTTAAAATTTAAGTTGATAAAATTATAATTAAAGTTTAAATGTTAAAAAGTTATATTAGAAGATCCTACAAATTGTAGTTTTTCTTGTATCAGTTTTTAAAAAAATACAATTTAAATATGACAAATATTATAGTACAGAGCACATGAAAAGGAAAAGTCTATAAAAAGACTTGGTTCTTAAGCTTGCCAATTTTGTGGTAGTACACTTTTGGATCAGGTTTAGGCAAGAAATCTATACCGTCCATCAATTTTGACCCTCGATTTTCAATCTATTTTTTTTTTTAGTGTTTTAAAATTTGATTAATATGAATTCACGCTAAAAGGTAGTTTCGTCGTCTCATTTTATGTAACACTTTTCACATTTTGAGATTCAAATAAGTCTATCTTTTACTGTAAATCTTTCATAGATTCTTTAAACATTTTGAATTATCAATTATTGTGACTTATATTACTCTTTACGTAGTTTACAAATATATAAATTTTATTTTAAAAGAATTAAAGATAATATATAAATATTCTATTAAAGTTAAACTATTTTTTTGAAAAAAAAAATATCGCTAAAATAAAATAGAAGGATTATTTACTACCCAACCATAATATTTAATGGTGTACTTCCCATGTTATGCAGCAGTTTGTTGACCACTTTTTTGCATAGCCCTTACAACTTTTCAGATCCCCTGGGACTAATTTTGCCAAAAATAAATATATATATGCAGAAATGGGTGGTTAAAGATCTAATGCATTTTTGGACCTAAATAAACTAAAACCTAGCTAAGATTACATATAGGGGAGGCTTATAAAGAATCAACAACCCTTCATGGCCCTCCCACAAGGCAAAAACATAATTTTTTTTTCTCTATTTCGCGAATTATATTTATTATCTCCTATCAACACAAATATCAAGTAACGGATAACTACAACTTATTATGTGAAGCCTTGCAGTAATAAGGACAATTTACCATCTAATTTTCCTCTCATAATAATGGATCTTATAATACAACAATATCAGACATGTTCTGTTTCATAATTAAGGTTTTTGGAAGTATATATATAACATCAGAGGAAACTGTCACTATTAAAAAGTCACTAGTTTCTCTTTTGAATCTTTTTACTTAGAATGTTAGCGATAATTCTCATAAATATTTTGATTGAATTGATGAGAAAAAATTAATAATATTTTCACGTGAATAATTAAGAAAATTCTCACTATTTCAGCGAGAATCTGTTTTTCGCCGCTGATTTACCCACTAACCTGGTAGTTTATAATGTGATTTTTTAATTAATTAGCAGTGGAAAAAACTTTATTTTTAGTAGTGTGTGGATTTGTCACTGACAGGACATCTACTATGGACTTCAAATGGCATACTTATGCATGATTATAACTAAAAAGCGGTGTGTACACAATCTACTCAGAATCAATATAAAATTCCAATTTTTCTGCCATCTTCATCTTGGAGTGGTAAATTAGTCAACAAAAAAAATATAATTTAGGAACAGTAAACAATTAGAGTGAAAAAAAAAAAGTTGCCTTCATATACAGTGCATCTAGCATAACTTTCTAGATATAGGTGAAAATTTTATTTCCATATTTCATGCTTGAATGGTGGCAGATAGATATCACTATCTTATAACAGAGGAGAAAACACATGCAAGGTGATTTATTTTAATAGATTC